CAAAGAGGAAGATTCCTCCATCCTCACAGAGGATCAGTCCAAACGACTCAGGTGTAGATGACTACAAGCGTTACCAAGTGCAGCGGGGCTGCCGTAGCTAAGCGCTTGAGGAAGCGTACTTTAGGTCACCGACCTCCCGATCTTTACAAGAACCCAGTACGAGTTAGCGGATTGCAATCCGCTTACTTCAAGAGTAATTATTGCCTTCCCAAGGCTAATTGACTCTTCGGTTTAAATCCAAAACTGGTTTTATTTATTTATTTAGTTATTCTAATATTAAAAGTTTAGATTTTCCTAAATATATTAAAAATATATAGTAAAATCTAAATACATGCATACTGACTACCTAGCCACATACCGTATTCTTGTTTGGGCGCAGTCACACCATGCCCATTTCGTGTGACACCCCCTGTTATCAGACTACGTGTAACCTCATACAATACATATGATGTGAAGATTCGTCTAGCTTTATTGAGTTACCCGACGTTGATATTTATAATCGGGCACGATTAAGGCTGCTGGCACAACGCGCATTTACTCCACCTGAGTCAAAGACGAAACGATGTTCATCTTAATCTCTCGTACCGGGTGAGATTTTCCCGTTTCTGCTCACATGGGGCTTGACGCTTGATATAAACGACCTTATTCTCTTCACCTCTGTAATAGTCGGTTCTACTTCCGCTTACGGCTGGTTGACACGTTCACACCAGCAAATTTGCACAACCTAATAAGCGCTACCCGGGCGAGCGGCAATCGCTTCAAGGCATTAAATCTGCTTTCTTTTAAGCCAAAAGCTCGTTTAACATGACTTGTTTTCAAAAAAGCACATATGTGAAATATAATATTTTAATGTCAGAGAGGTTGTGCAGCGAAGGCTGCCGTAGCCCTTTGGTTTAAGAAATATAAGCTAAGGTCACCGACCTTATGTTCGATACAAGAACCAGTATGAATGTAGCGGGTCGCAATCCGCTAACTTCAAGAAAACCCACAACCTTAACTCAAGGCAAATACACACTTACGTTCAAAAATGTATTTCTTTTGATGTATTTGCGGCAGTGCCGCCTATATCTAAATCTATAGGTTTTCCTAATTGAATAGTGAAACTGGTTCTTGTTAAGGTTGAGCCACACCATTGTGTGGTCACACCATCTTGTGTAACCTACCCTTCATATTAGAGAACGTGTAACCCCGTTACAGGCTGTCTATTTTAGTGTTTGGGGACAAATCCAACCTGGTTGCCGCGCACCACGCGCAATACTAATTTGACTTTTGTAGTCTGCTTTAGTGAATAGATGAACGATGGGTCCACCGCCATATCTTAGTTGCCAGACCTAGAGCCTCTTAAAAGGCAAATATTTTTACATCTGACAGTGTGGAGATGAGTGTAGTGTAATGCCATAATATATCGACTTTTCCCATGACCCGTGTTGTGTCTCGTTTTGGTCGTCGCATGCAGGTCTTGTTAGTGGGCAAGATCTTCGAGTTCATTCTAACAGGCGACACCGAATGGATATTAAAGCTGAGCTCGATGCCGTGTAATAGCCGAAAGGCGCATAATTCCTCATGACAGTAATGCATTTCCCAAAATGCATTTCCTCGACAGCATTATAGCGCCTTCTCAAGTTACATCGGAAGTGTGCGCATGCAACCGACAAGACCATGAAGAGTGCTGGCGTCGCTGGTTTGGACTGTCTCGAATCGAACAAACACCGATAGCGGTCCGACCAGACGAAGTGAAGAATTGCAGTGCGAAGCGTGTGCCAAACGTCCTCA